GAAGACCAAAAACTGATGTTGCCATGGTAGCAATATGTGACACCTGCTTCGACTTGTGACACTCGACAACAACAACACAAAAAAGAGGAAATGGTAGCTTGTAATTTGAGGTTTTTTTTATTATTAAGGAAGCAATGAGATGCAGTTTTTAGAGAACCCATTGAAAATGAAGAGCAGTGAGGTCGTCGTCAGCCATGTTTGCCGGAGGTAAGCACCCGCATGAAAAATTAACAAGTCACGTTAAGAAGCCGGAGCATCCAGGCCCTGCTGTGGGTTTGCACAGCTACTGCTTTCTGTCACTGCATTTGTTTCCCAGTAAAACGTCATCATAACCGTTGAATTCTTCCCAAATACAAACATTTTCGACCACGGTAAATAGAGCTGGGTGTTTAGATACTGTCAGTCAGCCGTGTTCTTGTTATTTGAAAAAAAAAATGTCTAAACTTGTCCTGCCTAACATGTCTAAGACTAAACTTCTTTGTGCAGCAGATGAATCGATGTGAAAGTCCATCTTTGTGATGTCTGACCTTGTGGTGAATAGGAGGATGTTTAAGAAACTACTCGATATTATGGACAATGCATCTCAACCGCTGCACTCCACACGTTAGCCATAGACACACTCCCCTTCTCATTTCCACTGCACATCCATGACTCCGCTCCTCACATTGCAGTCCCAGAGCAGAGGAGGTGAGGAAAAGGGGTATTTAACAAAATGATCCTCCTCACCTTGCTTTAAAGTTACAACTGTGGAAAATGTCTAAAATATCTCAAAAATGAACAGATCATGTCATGATCCACAGAAACATCTATCGTCTATCATTCTGAAAAGGGTTACAAAGACATTTTTAAGGCTTTGGGACTCCAGTGAACCAAAGTGAGAGCCATTATCCACAAATGGAGACAACTTGGAACAGTGGTGAATGTTCACAGGAGATCAACGACTGATCCAGGAGGTCAGAACCCAGAACAACGTCTAAGGAACTCTGTTCCTTGTCTTGGTTAAGGTCAGAGTTCATGAGACTGGGCAAAAACAGCATCCATGGGAGATCCAAGGAGAAAACCACTGCTGACCAAAAAGAACACCAAGACTCGTCTCACATTTGGCAAGAGAGAAAGATAAGAACATCTCGACAATCTTGATGATCCTCAAGACTTTTCAGAAAATATTCAGTGGACTGATGAGACAAAGGATGAACTTTTTTGGATGTTTTGAGTGTTGTTACACGTGTTATAAATTAACACAGCATTTCATTT